TCTCATCAACGTCATTCGTGCTACACCATGCTTTTTCGTCGATTGCTTGATACGAGAATTTATCTCCTGGTTCTCGCGATTCGATTTCTGCAATCGCTTCTTGAATCGGGTCCATATTGGTTGAGTTTTGACGCGTTGAAGTTTTGTTGTTGTGGTGGTGGGGGTGCTCAACTGGCGATGGTGCTCATCTGGTGCACGGGCACTGTAGTTCGACTTAGTTTAGGCGACAAAGCAGAAGTGGGGTATTGTGGACGACAATATCTACAACTTTGACGAAACTAGCTTTATAATAGGCAAGATTTTATCACAGTTAGTTATCATAGGCTTAGAGGGATATAGCAAAAAGAAGCAGATCTAGCTAGGTAACCGTGAGTGGGTTACTATGATCCAAGGCGTGGGCGCGTTAGGTCGCTAGCTACCCCCCTTTGTTATCTTTGCGGGCAAGGTGCTTATTGACGTCTAGTTTAAAGACCTACCTACTAACTAGGTTCTTGAAGTTAGTCCTAATAGCTAGACGAATAATTAGCTTGCTCTTGCGTAGTTAGAGCACTTTAATACCTATACAAAGAGGCAGACTGTGGGTGGGTATCAACTGCTCATTATCGACGGCCATGAGAGCCACTGCTCCGTCGATTTTCAAGATCTTTGCAAGGAGAAGAATATCATTCTTCTCTGCATGCCTGCGCACTCGTCTCACCTATTGCAGCCCCTTAATGTCGCCTGCTTCTCGCCGTTGAAGCGCAAGTATGGCGACTTGATCTCAGGCTTGGCACGCAACCGCACCAGCTATATCAGTAAGGAGACCTTCCTGCCAGCCTTCAAGGCTGCTTTTGAGCAGTCTATTACGAAGGAGAATATCCAAGCTGGCTTTAGAGGCGCTGGTTTAGTCCCACACGACCCACAGGCTGTGCTATTAAAGCTTGATGTAGTGGTGCAGACACCACATTAATCACCGCGACGGGTAGCCGCCTAGGAGGCGCAGACACCACGTAACGCGCGCGAAGTCGAGGCTTAAACTAGTCTTATTCAACAAAGCGTGAGAAAGCGCCGTAGGTCTTCTGCTAATTCACTTACTAAGCAGATCGCGCAGTTAAGTAAGGGGGCTTAGCAGATAGCACATAAGATGGTACTTTTAACAGAGAAAATAACCACCTTTTAAGAGGCTCTAGACGAATCAAACAAGCGTAAAAGCCGCAAGCGGCGATACGTACGGACAGAAGAGACTCTTACTGTAGGCGAGGTACAAGAAGTATTAGCTGAACAGGCGGGTAGTAGTCGTGGCGACGGTGAGAGTGCGTCGAAGAGGGTGCGAGGAGAGAGGCGGTGCGGGCGTTGTAAGCAGACTGGACATAACGCTCGTACCTGCGCAGTTGATATAGATAGTGCAAGTGATAGCAGCGATTCTGATAATTAATTTAGTATATTATAATAGTTTATTGACTGTGATAAAAGTGCGTGATAACGTCTCGACGTCGACGCGCTAGTGGGGCGTGAGCGACTCGCTTGGGTGAGCGACTCGCTTGTGAACTACGTTACTAGTACGGAGGTGCCTCACAAAAGTTTTGTCCCACGCTAATCTCGGCGCTTCGGCATAACTCTTCTTGGCGCAACTCCCACCTTTGAGCTGAGTAGCTGTACGATTTGTCTGTATCTATCGTTACAATGTCTCCTAATACTGATCCTTACACCCGCACCTTAATTGTGGCGTTAAAGTCACCTTCTGTTGGCAAGTCTACATCACAGATCTCTGAACTTACTGGTGTTCATCCTCGTAC